CCCCCCCTTGTTTCATATGTATATATTTGGGAGTCTAGCCAACTCCTTGGTTTTGCACCCCTCCCTGTCACAGGTGCCTCATCCCAGGGCCATATTTAGCCTTGTACTGCAGAGAGCCCAGATGGAATTTCTTTCCCCAAGTAGGTTAATCTCATAAGAGCAGACATTAGGCTGTTAGTGTAGGACCTGCCAAAGATGGGGTACATTGACGTTGTGGCAGGCTTATGCAATGTATGATCATATAATGTAACTAAACCCCCATTATTTTTGCCTAGATTAGGTGTTTTTAAAAAAACAAAATATCTTTCAACATTGAAGTTGCTGTTTAGTGGATAGGTGAGTGCGCTGGATCTTGTGTATTGTATTATTTGGCCCCCTGCAGCACCCCCATTTATGCATGTTAAGGTGAGTGCAGCCAACCCCCTCTTGTTTTATATATATTTGGGAGTCTAGCCAGCTCCTTGGTTTTGCACCCCTCCCTGTCACAGGTGCCTCATCCCAGGGCCCTATTTAGCCTTGTACTGCAGAGAGCCCCAGATGGAATTTCTTTCCCCAAGTAGGTTAATCTCATAAGAGCAGACATTAGGCTGTTAGTGTAGGACCTGCCAAAGATGGGGTACATTGACGTTGTGGCAGGCTTATGCAATGTATGATCATATAATGTAACTAAACCCCATTATTTTTGCCTAGATTAGGTGTTTTAAAAAAACCAAAATCTTTCAACATTGAAGTTGCTGTTTAGTGGATAGGTGAGTGCGCTGGATCTTGTGTATTGTATTATTTGGCCCCCAGCAGCACCCCCATTTATGCATGTTAAGGTGAGTGCAGCCAACCCCCTCTTGTTTTATATATATTTGGGAGTCTAGCCAACTCCTTGGTTTTGCACCCCTCCCTGTCACAGGTGCCTCATCCCAGGGCCCTATTTAGCCTTGTACTGCAGAGAGCCCCAGATGGAATTTCTTTCCCCAAGTAGGTTAATCTCATAAGAGCAGACATTAGGCTGTTAGTGTAGGACCTGCCAAAGATGGGGTACATTGACGTTGTGGCAGGCTTATGCAATGTATGATCATATAATGTAACTAAACCCCCATTATTTTTGCCTAGATTAGGTGTTTTTAAAAAAAACAAATAAAATCTTTCAACATTGAAGTTGCTGTTTAGTGGATAGGTGAGTGCGCTGGATCTTGTGTATTGTATTATTTGGCCCCCAGCAGCACCCCCATTTATGCATGTTAAGGTGAGTGCAGCCAACCCCCTCTTGTTTTATATATATTTGGGAGTCTAGCCAACTCCTTGGTTTTGCACCCCTCCCTGTCACAGGTGCCTCATCCCAGGGCCCTATTTAGCCTTGTACTGCAGAGAGCCCCAGATGGAATTTCTTTCCCCAAGTAGGTTAATCTCATAAGAGCAGACATTAGGCTGTTAGTGTAGGACCTGCCAAAGATGGGGTACATTGACGTTGTGGCAGGCTTATGCAATGTATGATCATATAATGTAACTAAACCCCCATTATTTTTGCCTAGATTAGGTGTTTTAAAAAAAAACAAAAAATCTTTCAACATTGAAGTTGCTGTTTAGTGGATAGGTGAGTGCGCTGGATCTTGTGTATTGTATTATTTGGCCCCCAGCAGCACCCCCATTTATGCATGTTAAGGTGAGTGCAGCCAACCCCCTCTTGTTTTATAGAATTTGTAAAGGCTGCAACAAGAAAAACCACCAGCAGGGGTCAGATAGAAAAAAACATACATACCCAACCACGAGGAGAGGAGACAGCACAGCGTCCGAACGAAAAACCCGAAAGCACAGCAAAAGAGAAACAATAGAGATGCATTCGCAGGAAAAAGGAGCCCGAAACCTACAGCAAGGGAAGGAAAGTAGAAATGAAGAATGGGTCTTGCCATTCGGGAGAAACCACCCGAAACATGAGAAACAGAGCAGGGGACGGACCTACGCCGCGAGGACGCCGATGGAGTGCGACCATGGTGAGACAGCAGGTTAAGTAACTTACGGCACCGTGGAGCCGAGAAGACGTGCGGCGGACGGCTTGGAACCACAGGAGAACCGGAGCTGGGACGACACATCAGAGACACCGCGGAGGACACCGGAACGGGAGCCACGAGGAGCAGGGACAAGAGTGAAGAAGAAAGGCGACCGGAACCAGCGTCAAGTAACGGTAAGGAACGAACGGGACAGGTGGAGGTGAGTAGTGGGCTTAAATGGGGGACCATGCCCCTCCCACAACTGCAGGCCAAGCCTTCACATCTACAAAACTGCAACCAAACCCCACAAACTATAGACAAGGTAAACAACTACAATAGGGAAGTGACATGGCGGATTATTGTCAAAGTCATGTAATCAATTCAGTTTGAGTTCCAGTGAGAATACGATGATAAAGAAAACTCTGTTTCGGAAGTTTGTTTTTGTAACTAATCTGCAGCTAAATGAAAAGTGACATTATATTCATAGTCATTAAGCACATTTTACACCCAATAATATCCGCTTACTTTGTATTTATCAATGTTGTGTTGGTTTCCTTGGAAATAATATTAAAGGAAGCCTAAAAGAAACAAAGAACATAAGTGTTTAGAATAGAGATAAAATAAAGACATAAAGATGCCTGCTGGGTTACACATACCCCAAGGTTTATGACGGGATCATCGGTTCCGCTGAACCTATAAATGTCGTTCCTGAGAGCAATATAAACACTTTTAGTCCAGCGAAGAGAAACTACGTCTGTTAAATTTCAGGTACAGGATAGTTTAACTTACTTGTTCTCTTCTGCAGATACATTGAATTGTTTTGGTTTTGGTAGGCTGGGGCTTCTACTTTTGTGTTTATCCTACAAATTAAACACTTTCTAATTAATAACGTTCAAAATATGTTTTAATTCACATACCTTACAGTGATTGGAGTGCAGCCATAACTCAGATACACACTCAATCGCATTGTCCACAGGCTGCAGACACCAACTCAAATCGCATTGTCCACAGGCTGCAGACACAAACTCAAATCGCATTGTCCACAGGCTGCAGACACAAACTCAAATCGCATTGTCCACAGGCTGCAGACACAAACTCAAATCGCATTGTCCACAGGCTCCAGACCCACACTCAATCCCATCTGCCACAGACTGCAGACACACACTCAATCCCATCTGCCACAGACTGCAGACACACACTCAATCCCATCTGCCACAGACTGCAGACACACACTCAATCCCATCTGCCACAGACTGCAGACACACACTCAATCCCATCTGCCACAGACTGCAGACACAAACTCAATCCCATCTGCCACAGACTGCAGACACAAACTCAATCCCATCTGCCACAGACTGCAGACACACACTCAAACCCATCTGCCACAGACTGCAGACACACACTCAAACCCATCTGCCACAGACTGCAGACACACACTCAATCCCATCTGCCACAGACTGCAGACACAAACTCAATCCCATCTGCCACAGACTGCAGACACACACTCAATCCCAGCTGCCACAGACTGCAGACACACACTCAATTCCAGCTGCCACAGACAGCAGACACACACTCAATCCCATCTTGCACAGACTGCAGACACACACTCAATCCCATCTGCCACAGACTGCAGACACACACTCAATCCCATCTGCCACAGACTGCAGACACACACTCAATCCCATCTGCCACAGACACAAACTCAATCCCATCTGCCACAGACACAAACTCAATCCCATCTCTCACAGACACAAACTCAATCCCATCTCTCACAGACACAAACTCAATCCCATCTCTCACAGACACAAACTCAATCACATCTGACGAGACTGAAGATGTACACTCAATCCAATATGCCACAAAAAGCAGATACACACCCAATCCTACGTGCCACAGACTGCAGATACACGCCCAATCATATAAATCATTACCTGGTTTGCTTTGAGTGTATACTTATTTGTGCAGTTTCTTGGGGGATGAAGAACAGAAATTTAATAAACCGATATTAGCTTTTTTCGAAAACATCAAAAAACAATAGTGATTGTGTGCATCAGTATAAGAACAAATAAAACATTGTGATTCATCAAAACTATGTTTTCTTTCTCAAGGAACATTATAAAATAAGAATACAAAAAATAAAAAAAATAAATCTTAATGGTGCCATCTAAAACAGGGCTTTGACAACAGAAAACTGGCATTCAGCACCTAAAATTGGTCTTTCTGAGAACGTGACTGGCTGGTTCCCTTTTAAATAAACAGCTACTAATGTCAGTGGTAGAAGAGATGGGAGGTTAGCATCTGACCACTGGCTTTAGTGGGGCCCCAGGCAATATCTGTGTGATGTGGTAACTGTGACATCTTCCTACTCCTCACTCCTGGGACATCATCCTTATAGGTAGTGTGGGGAGAGAGTGTATGAACACGTGTTTTGGTGAAGTATTGGAAAGTTATGTATGTACATCTGTGGAGTTGCACAATGTACTTGTGCGAGTGCTCAATGTTATTTGGAGACTGTCTGATGTGTGGTTATTAGGGTATGTGTGCGAGAGAGGGTTAAGATGCGAGAGAGTGCATTTTGTTTCTGAAAGTTTTACCTGTTTCCTAATGACTAAGGTAATATGTCAAGCCATGGTCGAAAACTAAAAATGAATGATTGGTCTTCAAAACACACACTGGATAGTTTGTCATGATCCACTAACATCTTATTGGTCAATAAATCTAACAAAGATAACTGATTAACTTATTAAACATATTCTTCCTGTTCCTATTCTTTTTTTATTGAACACAAAGTAAAATAAATAAAAAATAAGCAGTAAGTAATACAAGTCCAGATACCTTGCCGATGCCATTTGGACAGGCTTTTTCAGTGTAACTGCCCTAGAGTATTTGCTCCCAATCCTGTGGATCAGTGACAGAGCTACCTTTTCGTTCTTATCCTGTGAAAAAGTAATGATAGACTTTACATGAATTTCAACGGAAAAAACATATAACCAAGAAAATTACTAAATACTCCAATTACAGCTATTTGAACTATAAGTGAAGAAGTACAAAATGCTCTCACAGTACTGCAGAAGCCCCCACCTCCTAGCATGAAATAATTTCAGCACAAACGCTTTGTGAATGTTCTTGGAAGAGAACACAGCAGAAAAACAGACTCTCTAACTTACAGTATATGACCCCACAATCAATTCCTAAATAATCTCACCGAAATAATGGAGAGTACCCCTAAAGTTAACTAATTGTAATTAAAAGTGCCAGACTACAGCACTATGGTGACTATAGTCATCAAAACGACTTTAGCTTAAAGAGACACTATAGTTTGCAGAACAACTACTGCTTAAAGGACCACTCTAGGCACCCAGACCACTTCAGCTTAATGAAATGGTCTGGGTGCCAGGTCCTTCTAGGGTTAACCCATTTTTTTTTATAAACATAGCAGTTTCAGAGAATGTTTTCCTGGCACTATAGTGGTCCTTTAATGTAGTTGTTCTGGTGAGTATGATCATTGCCTTCAGGCATTTTCATGTAAACAATGCCTTTTCAGAGAAAAGGCAGTGTTTATCTTGCCCCCTAGGAACACCTCCATTGGCCATTCCTCGGAGAGTCACTACTGGTGCTTTCTGGGGCAGTGCTGCACATTAGGCAGCACTGCCGTTCAGCATCTCCACACTGCATGATTCAATGCATCTCTATGAGGAGGAACTAATTGGCTCAGCCGGCGTTTGGCCCCGCCTCCTTGCTGATTTCAGCCAATCCAATGCTGTACCACTAGTTGAGAATCAAGGGTGTATTGCAAAAACGAATGTGTCATTTTTTGTTGCAACTTAAAACTAATGGACTAAATCCAGTGTGACGTTCTCAATGTAAATATGAGCAAGCATTTAGCATTTGTGGCTTGCTAACTATGCAGTATAGTTTATTCAATAAATGAGGTTTAGTTTAGCTTAATACAAATGAAAACTAAATTTTAAATCAATTATCAGCAGCCTGGCATTTTTAATTGCTATTTGCTACATTTGGAAAAGAGTATATTTGGATGTCATTTGCAATCATTTCCTGACTAACACAAACTGAGAAAAAGCCACTAATAAGCACTAATAAGACTGCAATATTCCTATTAACCCACTTTTGACCTCTGCAGCCTCTAAACTACTTTCAATTACTTCCTCCCTCGGGCTATCACAGTGGGCTAAGTCTCCCACCCATGTAGCGGGCAATACCCTTTACCTAATCTTCACTTATGCATGTACAGTATCTAATATCTGCAACACTCCATTTCCTCTCTCTGATCACCACCTCTTATCATGACACCCAGTTATATCTCTCCTCCCCGGACCTCTCCCCTGCCGTCCTGCAACATGTCACTGCTTGCCTTTCTTCCATCTCTGACTGGATGTCCTCCCGCTTTCTGAAACTCAATCTCTCTAAAACTGAGCTTCTTGTCTTTCCTCCTCCTAATACTGATCCGCCTCTTTCGCTCTCCCTTCACGTTTGTGGTAACCACATCAGTCCATCCTTCCAAGCGCGCTGTCTTGGCATCATACATGATTCTGGCCTCACATCCAGCATGTTGCCAAATCCTGTAGATTCCATTTTAAAAACATAGCCCGCATCCGCCCCTTTCTTGCACCAGATGCTACCAATGTCCATGCTCTAGTAATTTCCTGCATGGATTATCGTAACGCTCTCTTGATTGGTCTTCCCAAAAGCCGTACTGCACTGCTACAGTCCGTAAAGAACGCTGCTGCCACATTGATTTTCCTCTCTAGTCGTTTCTCTCACACCTAACCCCTCTGCCAGTCCTTATATTGGCTTCCTGTATCCTATAGGAGTCAATTCAAGGTACTAATTCACACCTATAAACCACTGAACAACTCTAGCCCCTAATATCTCCTCACAGATCCATAGGTATGTCCCTTCTCGGTCTCTCCGCTCTGCCTGTGACGACCTCCTGTCTGTTGTCCGCACCCGTACGGCCAACTCACGCTTGCAGGACTTCTCGTGGGCAGCTCCCATCATATGGAATAGCCTGCCTACCGCCATCAGGCTCTCTCCTAGTCTTGCATCTTTTAAGAAGTGCCATAAAACCCATCTCTTTAGGACAGCTTATAGCCTCCTAGACTAACCTATACCTTACATACCTGTCTCTTGCTCTCTCCTAAAGGGCAGCCCACCTTATTTGACTGCAAATTCCTGTCCTAATGTGTTTTACAACCCACCTTCTATAGAATGTAAGCTCGATTGAGCAGGGTCCTCTTCAACCTATTGTTCCCGTAAGTTTATTTGTAATTGTCCCATTTTTGGTAAATCCCCCTCTCATAATATTGTAAAGCGCTGTTGGCGCTAGATAAATGGCAATAATAATAAGTTACCTTTTCTTTTTCAGACTGGACTGGAGGAAGTCCTGACTGCTTTGATCCATGCAGCTGCGATGCCTCCTTTTTGTCGCTGTCCTTTCCAATGCTTTTCAATAAACTGGCATTTTGGGCATCAATCCTGGATAGTCCATTGGTTCTGCTACAGTTGCTGTTTTTTACTGATGTTTCAGGCTGTAAGGACTGCTCGTTTCCATACTTTTTTATTTCAGCACTTCTTTCTACATTATAGGAAACACAGTCTGATCTGGGATTTTGGTTTGGATATTTATGACCCTCAGCCTTGGGATGTAACTTCTGAGTGGCTTTTACTGGTTGCTTCAGAAATTGCCTTCTCTCAGACACTGAACTCGAGGAGTGCGGTTTGAACACAATGCTGCCTACACCTATGAACACATGAGAACATAACATATAACATTGCAATTTAACTTGGATAAAAACAAAAAAGATCTTAGATTAAAACAGATCCAAGGAATAACTGACTGTAATAAGGAATCTCTCCTTCACTGAGTATTTAAAATAAAACAAAAACATTTTTACCGGTTTATGTAAAATCAATATTTATCAATAAAATATTTGCACGCACACATGCAAATGGTAGGGAAAAAAAACGGGGCAGGCAGAAAAATGGGTGTAAAAAACATGAATTGTCCAATCACAGAAACATGGGACGATGCACACTCATAAAGGTCTTTGGATTAATGTGTAATACAGAAAGTGTGCTAGTCTGGGATTTTATGGGGTTGTGCAGTAGAACCACATATGAAACTGGGCTGGAAAGGGTTACATGAGTCACTTACCTTGATTGCAAACAAGTTCTTCAGATACACTGAATTTGGCCTTCTCACATCTAGGCTTCTTCCTGCCCAAGTCGTGTTTCTGTTCAGTCAAAAAGCTCCCTGAGAGACTGAGCAATCTATAGGCAGATACAAATTATATAGATATTTAGAATAACCAAATTTGGCATCCTGATTTATCATCTCAAAGAGGACTAAAGAATCTTAGGTGGGGATAATACCACCAGTGCGCTATCGATCGAGCAGTAAGCGTGCTCAAACAAATGTGAGTACATATCCTATACTGTATATCATCTTATGGTCTTATTTCTACAGTGAGCACTATATTTGCCATTTTTATTATCTCAGTTTGGAACCTCTGTCATTGCATAAACATCTGAAGAATTTATCTATCACATATTTCCCAGAAGTGGGGATCTTTCCACCTCACGCTAAACATACCAGAGCTGGTTATAGCTCTGGTAAATGTGAGTAGAACTGACTCTATATACATTTTTTAAACATATATCTTATACTATATAGTACCATAAAAGTTCTCTCTTTTATGTTTTCCATGCACTTCTGGAATTACAATCACTCTACCTCCAAGAATCCCTGATTTTGTCCAGTCTGGTTGTTCCCTTCAAGACTTTATCTACCATCTATATACCATTGTATTTGGACCACACTTGTTTCACTATATATAATATTTCTGTAATTTTAACTTTGGTACATTTCATTTTATTAAGGAGCAACCTTCTCTCCTTTCCTTCTTTTCCATTACATATTGTGGGGTATTAAGAGGGAACCCCTTTCTGTTTGTAGGTGTGCAGCCTATTAAAATATATTATATTTTCTGTGGTCGTTCTTAGCGCTGATCCTTTTGTTACAATATAAGGGCAGATTGAGCATGGGACAGGCTACTGCTGGAAATCTGTGCTGTGTGTGAGTGTCAGAGAATGTGACGTTTGTGTGTATAAGTCAGTGTGTGTCTGTGTGCAGTATGGTTGTGTATGGTCAGTGTTAGAGAGTGTCAGTGTGCACTGTGTATTGGTCTACTTTAGTCCCTTTAACAAGTAGAATATAAATAAATAATCAATACCCGTGTGTATCTATAAAGCATTTTGTGTGTGTGTGTGTGTGTGTGTGTGGCAGTTTGTGTGTTGGTGGATGTATTACATTTATGATTTATCATTATTTATGTAATAGTTATAAGTGTTAATGTGTGTATTTGGCGTTCTGTGAGTATGCATCTATAAAGCAGTGTGTGTGTGAGGCAGTGTATGTATTAAGCAGTTTGTGTGAGGATGAGGTAGTTTGTGTGTGTCTGTGAGGCAGTTTTGTAAGTGCATGAGGCAGATTGTATGTGTTGGTGTATGTATGTGCGTATTAGGCAGTTTGTGTGCATGTATTTGTAAGGCACTTTCTGTGTGTAAGTATTTTGCAGTGTACCTGTGTGTATGTATAAGGCAGTTTGGTTGTTCGTATGTGTATGTATAAGGAAGTTTGCTAAGAGAGGAATACTCCACACACACACAAAGTATTTCAGCTTGCTGAAGTGCTTTATATGCCTGGCGTTTGCCATTTTCTTGACAGTTTATAAAAGGACTGATTTCAATAGAATTCAGGCCTTTTATATCTGGGGGCTAAGACACCTCCCTGCCTGTCACACAGCTAGGAAGAATTTCATTCACTTCCTTTAGCTAAACAGAGCTAACAGAAGAGGCAGAAGTGCTGTACTCTCACCTGCCTTCCCCCTTTCCCAATGAGATGAACTATAGCTCAGTGGAAAATATAGGAAAGCTGTGATTCAGTGTGCATGCGCACACTTGCGATTCCAGCAAAATGGATTCTCATTGAGAAGCTTCTGATTGGAGGGCTTGCAGGGCTTTGGGGGTGTATCTACTAAATTGTTAAAATAAATCAGTGGAATGTTTCCTTATGAAGTTTAGTGAATACATTTGTGACACAAGAGAACTCTCTCATGCGGGGACGTTAAAATTCTTGGCACTGGCCCTGATTTCTACACTTTGATGAAAGCCTGTGACATTATTGGTATTTATATCGCACCAAACTTTTCTGTGCTTATTATAAAGGGTGAACTTTAACAATCAATGAGACTAATGTAGATTATGCCAGCTATAGTGCATCTATAAACTTAATTTTATTTATTTATTGGCATTCTTTATTTTTTAGTGCAAAGAGGAAAATACAAGCTGATATAGACATTTCAGCAATAGCATACTTGATATGAAACGATGCAAGAAATTGCTAAAGTTGCCAAGAATACGGCACTATTTTTTTGTAAAATAATAAAAGTCATAACAGGCTATACTAGCCATGTCAAAGTAGTAGTCCGAACAGTCATGATACATATGTAAATCCAGTTAGCAGAACAAAAGAGTAGCACGGTGGTGTGATGAGACAGCTAGACATGTAAATTGTAAATGATTATATCTATAACAGAATTCCAAAGTAGGTTATTGGATATCACAGAAAATAAACATTTGTATTGCTGACAGAATAAAAGAACTGAAAAACAAAACAAAAACAAATATCATGATGCAAATATCAAGAGATAAGACATGTTTTTAGCTTGACAATCTATGCTAGACATGTTGTTTAGTTACAAGGCTTGTGATCCGCTGGGACGTCCAATCGCCCCAATGGAGGCTAGCCAAAGGGGGTCTGCATCTAAGACATGCTTTATGCAAGCACGTTAGATTGTCAGGCAATGCCCTGATTGGGAATACATCTGCCATCTAAGCTCAGGCTATTTCTGCAGGTGGTATTGTGGGGCCAAGATATGGTAATCGAGAGCTTGCACTCCTGTGCCATGAACTTGGGAGCTCTGCAAGACCATGTTTTCCCAATCCGGGGGAAAGCAGAAGGCATTTTCAGGCTTGATATAGTGTTGTTGGTTATGGCTTGGGCACTTTCTGCTTGTATGGCTGGAGTGTTGGGTTAAATCCCAGGTAGGCTCTACGCACAGGTAGGCTTGAAGTTGGCTTGCCAAATAGCAGTGTGATAGGCAAGTTGCTTGCAAGGAGACCCCCCAGGCCTCACTTCACAATGCGAGGAACTTGCGAGGACCTAAACATCCGCTGGGCCGCACTATATCCTCCGGGGCAAATATCAGCAGACACAGTGCCTCTCCCCCTCCCCCCGCATCAGCATCAACTGATCAGCTGCAGGTGGAGATAAGTCTCTGTTGGGCATGAAATATTGGTTCAGGCAGCTGTAAAACTCGAGTAGTTCAAGAGCTAAGGAGGAGCTCACTCGAAATGCAGCTCATGCCCCACTCCCTATAATCTTAATTTTATTAAGACAGAAGGTGAATATTTTCCCTCTCACATTTTATTGTTTTGTTCTCTTTAGATGATGGTATACTTATTGTTATTGTACATGTTATCTTTAATTTGCTTTTTAGATGTAATAAATTGTTTATTTCCGTTGCCAAGCTCAGACACTGGGTGTAGTTGTGTTGTGGAGACAGGTTCAGGCACCGAATGTAATGGTGTTGTGAAGACAGGCTCAGGCACAGAGTGTAGTGATGTTGTGGAGACAGGCACAGGCACTGAGTGTAGTGGTGTTGTGGAGACAAGTTCAGGCACAGAGTGTAGTGGTATTATGGAGACAGGCTTGGAGACTATGGTGAGGCCTGATAGAAAGCAGTTGTTGTTGGGGGATTCTATCATAAGAGGTGTGGAGCTGGACAATAGCGGTCTTGTGAGACGTCTTTGTAATATTGTTAAGCAAGCAAAGCAGGAGGGGGAATTGGATGTACTTGTCCATCTTGGGACAAATTACTTGGCTTGCAATGAGGTTTCAGAGGTAAAGGATGTTTTTTGTGTTTTTGCCAATGATATACAGCAGGTTGCTTCTACACTGTCATTCTTTGAAGTTCTGCCTGTGCATAACACTCAGACGGATGCGTATTAGGGACTTTAATTTGTGGCTTGGTGAATGGTGTCGATTTGGCTTAATTTCTCATGGTAGCTCAGTTTGGAATGGAAATAAACTGTACAAAAAAGATGGTTTGCATCTTTCTCAAAAGGGAACAAATGTTCTCAGTGAACAGTTCAGAGGTTTTGCTAGGATGTATTTAAACTATGGGGTGGGAGGGGGGGGCAAAAGGGTCATAAAACATCAATCCAATTGCCCCCCAAAACAAGAAGAGAAGGTGCCTGTAGCAAGTGTGTTAAAAAATTATACGTTTACAGTCATGTCTACAAATACCCACGGTTTAGGGTATAAGATCCCCAAACTTGTGGCAATAAAGGCAACTGATAATGTAGATTTAGTGGCTGTTAATCAGACATGGTATAATGAGAAAAATGACCGGTACATAGCAATACCGGGGTACTCTTTATATAGAAAAGACACTGAGGGAAAGAAAGGGGGAGGGGTGGCCCTGTATGTGAAGGATAGCATAAAATCTAGCCTAATAAAAGTGCGTGGAGCGAATATAGAGTCCGTTTGGGTTGCGTTAGAATTTGGTAATCACACTAACTTGTGTAGGTGTGCTTTATAAGCGCGCAGGACAAATAGAAGAGTTAGATAATCTACTAGTTGAGAAAATAGCTAAAATGACAATGAAGGGGGAAGTTACCGTCATGGGTGACTTTAATCTTCCTGATGTAAACTGGAAAACTAAAATAGCTGCTTGTGCCAGGAGCACACATATTCTAAAATCCCTACTGGGAATGTCTCTAAAACAAGTCGTTGAGGAGGCGACTCGTAAAGAGGCCATACTAGATTTAGTGTTAACAAATGGAGATTTGGTGTCAGATATTACTGTAGGTGAAAGTTTAAGATCCAGTGATCAGTCAGTCAGTGTGGTTTAATATAAGAACAGTGACTGAGTCACACCCCACAAAAACAAAAGTTTTAGACTTTAGAAAAACAGACTTTTCTAAAATTAGAATATGTGTAAAGGCGTCATTATCAGACTGGAGCAGTTTAAATGGATTCCAAGAGAAATGGGATTATTTAAAAGTTGCAATGCTGAACGCAACAGAAAATTGCATTAGGCTTGTCAGTAAAAGCAAAAAAAATAAGAAACCGCTGTGGTACTCCGCAGATGTGGCCAAAATAGTAAAAAACTAAAAGTTAGCATTTAGTAATTATATATATAAAAAAACACAGAGTGAGGAAGATAGGCAGATCTATAAGATTAGGTAGAAAGAAGCTAAGCAAGTTCTAAAAGCTTCCAAATCACACACAGAAGAGAAAATAGCACAGTCTGTTAAAAAAGGGGACAAAGCTTTTTTTAGTTACATAAAAGAGAAAAGGAAAGTAAAACAAGGATTAGCTAGATTAAAAGCAAAAGAAGGAAGGTATGTAGAAGAGGATAAAGGTCTAGTTGACTGCTTCAATGAATATTTTTGTTCAGTATTTACAGATGAAAATTAAGGAAAGGGGCCTCAGTTGGGAAAAAGGACAAATTAGTAATTTGTTACATGTGAGTTTACAGAGGAAGATGTTCTATTTCAATTGTCAAAAGTAAAGACAAATAAGTCAATGGGCCTGATGGAATACACCCAAAGTTATTAAAAGAGCTTAGTGGTGTACTAGCAAAACCATTAACAGATTTATTTAACCAATCATTAACAGGAGTAGTCCCAGAAGATTGGAAGTTAGCGATTGTTGTGTCCATTTACAAGAAAGGTAGTAGGGAGGAGTTGGGCAACTATAGGTCAATTAGCCTTACTCCAGTAGTGGGGAAGTAATGGAAACCATGTTAAAGGATAGGTTTGTTGAACATCTAAAATCACATGGATTTCAAGATCAGAGACAACATAGGTTTACTTCAGGGAGATCATGCCAAACTAATCTTATAGATTTTTTTGATTGGGTAACTAAAATATTAGATATGGGTGGTGCAGTAGACATTCCTTACCTAGATTTCAGAAAGCTTTTGACACTGTTGCACATAGAAGGCTTATCAATAAACTGCAATCTTTACGTTTGGATTCCAATATTGTTGAATGGGTAAGGCAGTGGCTGAGTGACAGGCAACAGAGGGTTGTAGTCAATGGAGAATATTTGAAGCATGGACTTGTCACCAGTGGGGTACCTCAGGATCTGTACTTGGACCCATTCTCTCTAATATTTTTATTAGTGATATTGCAGAAGGTCATGATGGTAAGGTATATCTTTTTGCTGATGATTAGTGATGTCCCGAACGGTTCGCCGCAGACTCATCATTGAGTAAACTTTGACCCTGTACCTCACAGTCAGCAGACACATTCCAGCCAATCAGCAGCAGACCCTCCCTCCCAGACCCTCCCACCTCCTGGACAGCATCCATTTTGAAGCTGCATTCTTAGTGAGCTGTCCAGGAGGTGGGAGGGTCTGGGAGGGAGAGTCGGCTGCTGATTGGCTGGAATGTGTCTGCTGACTGTGAGGTACAGGGTCAAAGTTTACTCAATGATGAGTCCTCGGCGAACCGTTCGGGACATCACTACTGATGATACTAAGATATGTAACAGGGTTGATGTTCCAGAAGGGATAATCCAAATGGCAAATGATTTAGATAAACTAGAAAAATGGTCAGAGTTGTGGCAGCTGACATTTAATGGGGATAAGATAATGCATCTTCGACGTAAAAACCCAAGGGCAGAGTACAGAATATTTGATAACATCTGAGGAAAGGGATGTAGGGGTAATTATTTCAGATAACTTAAAGGTAGGCAGACAATGTAATAGAACAGCAGGAAATGCTAGCATAATGCTTGGTTGTATAGGGAGAGGTATTAGCAGGAGAAAGAGGGAAGTGCTCATGCCATTGTACAGAACACTGGTGAGACCTCACTTGGAGTATTGTACACAGTACTGGAGACCAGTTCAGAGAAGGGCTACTAAACTGGTTTATGGCTTGCAGGATAAAACTTACCTGGAAAGGTTAAAGGATCTTAACATGTATAGCTTGGAGGAAAGACGAGACGGGGGGATATAATAGAAACATTTAAATACATAAAGGGAATCAACACAGTAAAGGAGGAGACTATACTTAAAAGAAGAAAAACGACCACAACAAGAGGACATAGTCTTAAATTAGAGGGGCAAAGGTTTAAAAATAATATCATTACTTTAAAGTATTACTTTACTGAGAGCGTAGTGGATGCATGGAATAGCCTTCCAGCTGAAGTGATAGAGGTTAACACAGTGAGGAAGTTTAAGCATGCGTGAGATGGGCATAAGGCTATCCTAGCTATTAGATAGGGCCAGGGACTAATGAAAGTATTTAGAAAATTGGGCAGACTAGATGGGCCGAATGGTTCTTATCTGCCGTCACATTATATGTTTCTATGTTCATCTCAAACATGGAGTAAAGAAAATTAGGCATGTAGCCAACCACATCTTAAAGTGTGCAGGCACATGCCTGGAGTTGTGGGGGCTAATGTGCCAGTGGGTGGTCATCATACTTGTTACTTTACATTTGTAGTGTTTATATCTATCCCAGAGAAGGAGTGGTTGGAATAATGTTGCACCTATACATGTCCTTCCAGTACAGCTATCAAAGTGACTCCAAGTCAAGCTTGGCTTAACAGGTACACATTGTATATTTAACAGTATCATTTCCACATCCAGCAGCAAAGACAATCAGCTACACTCAGACATATTGTTACCAGACTATTTCCTGAGATGCCATACCATAATGGCACACATTGTACAATGAATATAACAACAAGCTACATACACGTTTGGTTCCATCCTGCTTACAGGCTGAGTGTCCAGCACAATCTCAGCTTTCTCTTCTGCAATTAGAAATCATTGACTCTGGTTATCACTTTATGCTTTATATTTCAAACTTAAAAAAACAATTTAATAATACTGGTAATTACCGGGACTTCTCAATGATTCATCCATTTTCATAATTTCAAAATCATTACCAAGTTTCATCTAAAAAAACAAACAAACAAAAAAACCATGCCAACAAAATAATGTTTAGCTCCTGATTCAACCTAAACACAGATAATGTTTTGTTTTTTTTACTTATAACATACTTTCTGAAATGAAACATTTTCTATTGTGGTGATTGGCTGGCTAACTTTTTTATATGTTGAAGATGTGGATCCAGTGCTTCTCTCTGCAGAGCTGATCATTTCTAAACGTGGTTTTACTCTCCCTTTATGCCGTAATGCTGAAAAGAAATATAAAAAAAATAAAATACATTAAATAAAACAAAGGACTAAATCTATATTTGGCAGAGGAACATTGACTATAGATTATCAGTTTGCGCAAAATGTGTAAATCTTGAATTACAAACAGGATCTGTATGGCTTGTGTATGCAAAGTGCTCTAGCTCCCTCTTATGTTGTGAATAAAACATGCAAATTTCAGCAGTATCCCAATATGATGCATTTCGGCTCAGGGATGGACTTCCTTTTTCTGGGGTTTTTTTTTTGTGGTTTTTTTTATGCCTGTTTGTATATCTGTATCTATCTATCTATGTATAATTTATTGATTATATTTATAATGAATTACCTGAAAACATTACAGTAACTGAGTGTTTTAAAGGAATCCAAAATAAATAAAAAATTTCCTTCTGTTACAGTATTCCTTTTTTGGTGTAGACTGAGGGACCCCCCAAGACTGTCTCCACTTTGCCCTCAATTAAATCCTCAACACCAAAGATCTCTTCAATGCTTTTAATAAAGGAGAACTGGGGCCCTGAGTTGCATAAGCAGCAATTGCCATTCTCTTGACCAATAAAATGCTTCTCACAGAGAAGCACTGAATCCAATAGTCCCTGATGAGAAGCCATCACTATCTCTTTGGAAGCGCATTTAAAGCAAGTGAAAAAGGAACAGACTGACAGACGTGAGGGTCAACACCTAATGCCATTAGGTGATGAGGTTTGAATCCAAAATTCCAAGCTGGGTATAGAATTGATCGCTAGGTATTCTCAGGAACAGTGACATTAGAGGGCGGTGTCAGTATGAGCACACAGTAAAGATTTGGATAAGTGATCAAGAAAATTAGGAACATGTATTTTCAAGCACTATTATAATATTAGATTTAGCTTTGGCAGGACAAGTGAAACGAAGGGTGCAACTCACGTGTGTTAGCTGCTGTAGGTGGGTTTGTTAGTTTGTAAACCCCCAAAACAGGGATGATCATTCTTGCTTCCGAAACTTTCTTTTTAATGGGAGTAACTAGCTGAAAAATAAAACAAGTCACTTTTTCATAAAAACACCACAGTAAATGCATGAATTTTGTATCTGCAACTAACTCCATATAAATCACAGTTTGTAGTTATGGCTTATGAAATACCCAAACCACGGGGCAAGATGTGGCATAACCAAGGAAATATGGAGCACATAGGTACGATCAATGACTTAGTGGGGATAAATGTAAACTTAAACTCCTAACCCTTAAAATCTGACATCTTCATCTTTAGTCCAAATCCTGAACCCACAAAGCCGTAGCTTTATAAACAGCAGCACTAATCCTACATCATTGTAACAGCGGCTGACATTGAATCAATCAGAAAACACTGGTTATAGCTACTTTTCAAATCCTGACAAAGTAAAAACATTTGCTTTTTAAAAATAATTTTAAACTGAAATAGTTTCTGATAGGTTTAAATAAGGCTTAAACTGTCTCAGACACTAGCAGGTTTTAGTCACAAATCTACAGATGTATCCTGCAGGTTTAAAGGAAAGTGTTTCCAAATCACAACTTGAATGCAAACTGAAGCTCATGGTAAAATAATACAGAGTTTAACTGTAACTGTAAATCAGTGCTTACAATATATAGTCACATCTTTAGTATACTGCATTGAGGATTATACTAGCCTTGGAATGATCATTTGTATCACCCACATCTTCATTATGTCGATTAACGCTTGCGGTCAACAGACATGGATTTTTTAGTCTGGCTTCCGCCCCATCGCTCACTTCTTTACACTTCAAAGATAAGGATGAGTCCTGGCTCTCAGGAATCACAATCTGAAGAATACATGGAGGGACCAAGATATTGCTATATCGAGAATAAAGCAACACCTATTCTGCAGAACACCACAATTAATACTGAAATGACAGCTTCAGTGCTCTCTAATCTCTAATCTCCTCCACCTTTACATTTAACCACCTTTCAATTTCTTGGTTCCTGGTCTACCAGGAACCAGTTCTCTATACTTAATGACTAAAACCTTTCAAGAGTAGTTGGTTTACATATTTATCACGGAGACACTGAACAATTGTAATAGAAAAACAAGTTTCAGGAATCCACACTCTACTAGCAGTGAAGCTCTGCAATGTACAACTTCCTGCCAGTAAATAATAAGATAAATAAAAAGAATACTGTGCGTGTGGATAGTTATAAAGATGTTCCATTGAAAGACACATGAACCCTATGGCTGCAGGGTAATATTGCATTACAAAGAATGAAGCTGTTCTAACAGAATATATTACATTCATCAGTTATCTATGTGCAACCCTGTTCTAATATAATATTTATTTCCTCCCCTGTCAGTCTCACTTGCTATGAAGCTGGATGATTATGTTCTAATAGCTGGTATACACAGACTGCACATCATATAGATCTGACGATATGAATATGATACTGTGTTACTTTTCTATAACAAATTGTTTGGTTTTGCTATAAATATACACGTTTAACTTGCTCTCGGCGAGTATTTTGCTGGGGTGTAACAGTAGGTGTAATGTTACATTTACTGAATTTTGTTTCATGTTACCTGAGATCCACTTTCCTCAAAGATAATACGTACAGCAGTCTTTGCAACCGAGCTGCAATTCTTCTTGGTGAATCCCTGCAGGCAGAGAGGATTCCAGATGATGAGGTCATGCAATTAGGATGCATGTTACACACTAACACACAGATTGGCAGACACTTTTCTATGTCGAGATCAGCAGTTAAAGTGCAAGCGTTTTCTTCCTCTGGTGCTTAGTGAAGTCTTAACTCTAACTTGTACCTGTGTATATGTGAGTTTACTGTTTTCTCAATGTTTGCAACATTACTTTATTTTAATGGTTAACATGCAAGAGCGGACTGTTATTTGAATACTGAAGCACTTTGTTACTTTGTTATTATGTCTTCACTGAAAAAAAACAATAAAAATTGAGACATGGGGGGAAAAAAAGTGCCCAACAGAATTGTAAAGCACTCAAATGCTTTGAGTCCAGTTACATGATCTATTTAATATCCATTCATTTCTGGGACACATTGAAATTAGGTGTAATCATGTTTGTACACGGAGAACCAAAAAGGAAACATTACCTTCAATTTAGTAGACCCAAAGATCTTCATGACAGCATCTTGAATATCCAGTAAAGAGTCAAAATATATCCGTATCTGAGAGCCATTTGCTTTGCCAACTGTTGCAGGAGTATTAAGATGTATTGATAACAGCAACTTGTTCTCTATTTCTGTTAAAGAATAAATCAATTCATTAAGCATTACGACAATAATATATGTACAATAGGCACATCAGAAATATTCTGCCAATATTATATTTAATTTAAGTACATTACACATCATATTGTATAGACACCCAGATCTTTTTTTTCGCTTGCCCTTTTTTTTGTTTTTATTTTTAAATAAATTCTTTATTTGTAGCGTTTGCATCGTTTGGTTTGATGAGAACAGGGGGTACAGAATAAATAGAAGGGAATAAGTACATGTTGGGGAGATTACAGTCACATTTACATTCGAAAGCAGAAGCACTGGTTGTTAGTCACTTGCGTATATGTATTTGGGAGGTTGAGCGTGTTCGGGTGCCAAATGTGCTCTGTGGGACAATTTTGCTGCAATTTTCTCCCCAAATATGGGGCGGTAGGTAGAGTGTAGGAGTCGGGCGGATGGGGTTATTTAATTCTGGAGTGAGGAGGGTAAAATGTTCATCGGTATCATGTTGTGTTTGGCTTCTTGGCATGGGAGGAGGGATTATGGAGGTGAGACCAAGGGGAGCAGGTTCTTCTTTCATGTTAGGGTTTGTTGTACAGCGACTGTGGGGTTTCATTTTTACTGGTTGTCTTCTGCTGCGTCTGTGTCTGGTTAGTTGGTGTCGGCTTTCGGCTGGCCTTTTGCGCACCCTATGTTGTCCCCCGTCTGTGTACTCGAGCGATTACTATTGTGCCCTATGGGTTTGTGGTTTGGCCGTTAGGTGCCCCCTTGAAGTTGTGTTGGTGTGTCGGTGGGCTCTCGACTCTGTGTGTTGTAGAGTTGTTGGCTAGGTGGGTTCTGGGAGCTGTGGGGTGGGGTGGGGTGGTGGTGGCGTTTCCGTCAACCCGTGTTAGTGGTGGAGTGGGTTCGTGTGGTCCTGTTGTTTATGTGGGTGGGAGGGGGTTGCTGGAGGTGCAGCAATGCGTCTGGCCTGGGTGTCAAGAAGTGGGGTCCTCTTTGGAGGTGTCCCCTTCCTAGGTCATTGGAATGGTTTTATTTAATTGGGTCGAGGGTGGTGTGGCGCGTTTAGGGTTGGAGTTTCGTCCCTCCTCTTCCCTGCCTGGGTTTTGTTGTGTGCTTTGTCGTCTGGGGGTAGGGAGGAAGTGTGGGTATCGGGTTCTCCATTTCGCCCCCGCGCTCTCATGCCCGGCCGGCCAGGCCCCCTGCAAGGTTAGGTAGGGAGAAAAAGGAGGGGGGGGGGTGATGATGAGTGGGGTGTGAGGAGTAGAGAAGAGGGGAGAGAAGAGGGGGGGGATTAAGGGTGATTGGGGGAGTTGTTGGTGGAAGGAGTTTGGTTGGTGATGTTCTGTTCTGGGCCGCTGTGTGGTTTCGTGTTCCGTGGGCTGTTCTACCCCTTGTGTCCTGGCTCTTATATTCCACTTTGGTGTGGGGATATGTAGTGTTGCGTTGGTTTGTTGTCCCAGTGGTGGTATGGGGTGGTTAATCATTGTGACGGCGGCTTAAGTGGGGTTGTGGGTGGAGGGTAGCCCGGTTTGTGGAATGCCTTCATCCATTCTTGGATAGTTAGCATCCCAAAGGTCCCATGTCCGGTGGAATGATTTGTATGTGTCGTGTATCTGTATCTCTCTTTGATTTTGCGTATGATGGTGGTTAGTTTGGGAATACGTTGGTCTGCTCACAATTCTGCTATTGCTCTTCTTGCTGCTAGAGGTATCCGGGCAGTGAGTTTGTTTTCGCTCCTTGTAAAGCAGTCGACGGGTTTGGTAAGTAGCATGGTCCAAGGTTTTGTTTTGTTTTTTGACTTGTCAATCTATTCAATGAGTCGGTGTACATCAGTCCAGAGTGGTTTGTGTTTGGGGCATTGCCACCAGCAATGGAGGTAGGAACCGGTGGCTTGGGTCTAGGTGTTCCTTACCTGGTTTTGGCAGGAGGCATATGTCGGTAGTGAACAAGTCCAGTGGGAGTGGTTGTCCTCGGAGAAGTGAGTTAAAGGTCTTGAAGAGGTGGAGGATGAGTTGCGTCTGGAAGGTTTTATAACAGAGGGCCGTGAAGCCGTCTGGGCCGGCTCTTCATGGGCTTTAACGTCTTGAGTACCTGAGCTATTTCTTCTTTTTCGATGGGTGCCACTAGGATTTTTTTGGCCGTGGAGGGGAGGGAGGGTAGGTTGAGGGGTTCTAGGAATGCGGCTATCTTTGTCAGGTGTTCTGCATTCTCTGGTGGTGGCGGTGCGGAGTGGTTATATAAGTTGGTGTAGTAGTGTAGGAATTCCTGAGCTATTTTGTCTGGCTGGTTCGTGGTCTCACCGGCTGGGGTGCGGATTTTGGAGATTTTCTTATTCTCCTGTCGTTTCTTGAGGCAATGTGCCAGTAGGGAGTCGGCCTTGTTGCCCTTCTCATGAAACCTCTGTTTAGACCACATGAGGTTTCTCGCTACATCTGCCACTGAGAGAGTTATTAGGTCCCGCGTGGAGGTTAGTTGGGTTAGGAGCGTGTCCGTTGGTCTTTGTTTGTGGAGTGCTTCAAGCCTTGCCAATTTTGTCAGTGCTTCCGTTAGGTCTTTTAGGCGTCGCCGTTTGCAAGCTTTTGCTATTGCTATTAGGTTGCCCCTGATCGTTGCTTTATGGGCAGCCCATATCATTGCCGGGGAGATGTCTTCGGTGGTGTTGGTGTCGAAGTAGTCTTGGATGTTTTCAGTCAGGGTTTGGATGGTTGTCTTATCCCGTAAGATCCATGGGTATGGTCAGCGTGACCTCCGCATGGTCTGACCATGCAATGTTGCCGATATGCGTGTGGGTGGTCCAGGGTTGGACCGCGTGCGAGACAAGGAAACTGTCGATTCTGGAGTATGATCGGTGTGGGAATAAAAAGTAAAGTCTCTGGTAGATGGGTGCTGGGCCCTCCATGTGTCGATTAAGGGTGTGTCAGTGACAAATGTAGTGAGTAGTTTGTCGTTCCTTGTTGTCGCTGGTGTTCTGCCATCGTGGGTTCTGCGGTCGGCAGCGTGGGATTGGGTTGTGTTGAAGTTGCCCCCGATTATTAAGTGTTTGGCGGACAGGCCGCTGAGGTGGTTCTGAAAGCGATCTCAGAATGTTGTGTCGGGGACAGTTGGGGTGTAAAGTGAGCAGACGGTCAGTGGAGTTGTGGCCACGTGTTCCGTGAGGTAGAGGGATCTGCCCGCGGGGTCTTTGATGGTTTGAATGTCTTCTAGTGGGCATGAGTTGCGAAGTAATATAGCGACACCCTTGGATTTTGGTTCCGGGGAATTAGCCAGGTAGTATCTTTTAAAGTGTCGTTTGACCAGAGGGGAGGGTTTTTGGTTGGATTTTGAGGTTCGTGGTGCCATGGTGCGAGTGTGTCCGGTTTACCAGTGTGGCGTACGGTGAGGAGAGTGGGATGAGAAGGTATCCACGTAGTGGTGAGGGTGGAGGAGGTGCTGCAAAGGATAAGAGTTTGCTTGCCCATTTTACATTGTTCCAACTGATGAAATTCAAGAAATGACTGTTCACTTGCTGCCTCATATATCACACCCCTTGACAGGTGCCATTGTAATGATATATCAATGTTATTTACTTTACCTGTCAGTGGTTTCTTGTGGCTGATCAGAATAATAAAATATACATGTGCATCTCATCTCTCCAATCTTTTAAGAGAACACAATAGATGCTGTACCTTGTATGCTGTACATGCTGACTTCATTTTCAGTCACGAAGACAGTCTCCCATCGATGATCCTTTAACAGGAATTTAAAACTAATCATTGATTAGAAAGATCACACAAGCAGGTAGGACAGAAAAAAATGGCATAGAAATTACAAAAAACACAAAAATTCAAGATCTGAAGAACAAAATTTTGTTTAGCAGGGCTAGGATGAGAATATATGAAAGGTCCGGATATACTAATAATTTGCTAATGGTAACAAGCAGGAATATGCAGCTATTTTGACCACAAGGCCTGGATATTATGACTATATGGAAAAATCATGATTAAAGCTCTGTCATTCAGTAAAAAGATGGCATGGTATGGTGATAAGAACAGTAATGGCCAAAGTCAGGTGTAAGATAATTTGGAAATAATAAATATATAAACATTATGTAAGGAACTTCAATACTTAGAATGTATTCTTCGAAAATGGATTCTACCTCATCATCATCAGCTGAAATATAGAAGGACATGCTCTCTGTACTGACATTGAAATCAATCCAGAATTCTTCCAATTTCTCATCAGATGGGGCTTGGAGCTAGAAAACATGCAATTATATGTAACTATGGTTACATTAAAAATAACAGATGTGTTTTTCTTGGTTTTATGTTTTGACAGACGAACGGACGGACACACACACACACACACACACACTTTTTCTCTCTCTCATTAAAGGGACACTATAGTCACTGAAACAACTTTTGCTTAATGTATCATGAAAATTCACAAAAAGTACAAATGCCTCATGGTTATATTAAATATTAAATGTATGCTTACTAATGCAAGGAGCTTATATAACAAAATGGGGGAACTAAAGGTAATAGCATACACTAAACAATATGATATAATGGGCATAACAGAAACATGGTGGGATGAGACACATGACTGGGCAGTTAACTTAAATGGGTACACGTTATTTAGGAAGGATAGGAAAAACAAGAAGGGTGGTGGGGTATGTTTGTATGTCAACCATGAGTTAGTCAAATTTTAGGCATGTGGAGTGTGACGAGGAAAATGTGGAAGCTTTATGGGTAGATATCTGCTTGGGGCAAACGAAGGGAAATCAGAGGGGGTTTTTGGTTGGATTTTGAGGTTCGTGGTGCCATGGTGCGAGTGTGTCCGGTTTACCAGTGTGGCGTACGGTGAGGAGAGTGGGATGAGAAGGTATCCACGTAGTGGTGAGGGTGGAGGAGGTGCTGCAAAGGATAAGTTTGCTTGCCTCCTGGGAGGGAGGGTCTGCTGCTGATTGGCTGGAATGTGTCTGCTGACTGTGAGGTACAGGGTCAAAGTTTACTCAATGATGAGTCCGCGGCGAACCGTTCGGCACATCACTAGTTATAAACCACCTAATGTAAAAATATTAATAAGGAAGAACAGCTGTTAGAGCAAATTGGGAAAGCTGCAAATCCGGGTAACACGTTAATTATTGGAGATTTTAATTACCCAGACATAAATTGGGATAGAGTGACTAGTACTTCAGCAAGTGGAATCAGGTTTTTGATTGTGTTAAATGACACCTTTATGTCACAACTTGTACAAGCACCAACAAGAAAGGATGCTTATCTGGATCACATTATAACAAACAATGTTGATCTTTTGACAAACATTCAAGTAGGGAAGCATTTGGGAAATAGTGATCACAATATGGTAATGTTTTAAATAAACTCAAAAAAGCAAAAGCGCGTGGGGTATACTAAAACATGTAATTTTTAAAAAGCCAATTTCAATAAGATTAGGGCAGCTCTACAACATAACTGGCATAAACTCCTTAGTGGGAAAAAAAACAAAACACGGAGGATAAATGGAAACTATTGGGTAATAAATATAAAAGAAACAAATTGAAACCAATGTGGCTTAGTAGAGAAGTAAAACAAGAGATTAAAAATAATAAAAGGGTGAGGGGCGGCACCTGACTTCAGGTGCGAATGGCGGCTTTCTGTTAGAGCTCCGCTCCAGCAGGCTTAATTTTAGCTTACAATAGCAGCTCTCTCCTTTACACAGTCCTTCAAAAGGTAGTAACATCGCCTCACAGACATACGAACTACACGTTACGGGTAGACTGACATGTACGAGCGAGCTATCCGGGAACTCCGAGATCAAATGTGCCAGCTGGAAGTCGCACAGGAAGATTTAAATAACAGATCCAGGCGCAATAACATCAGGATTCGGGGCATACCTGAGTCCATAGAAATGGACACCCTATCCACCACTCTGCGTGAAACATTTTGCAGCCTACTCCCAGAGGCCCCACCAGCAGAACTCCTCCTCAATCAAGCCCACAGGGTACTACGAGCCCTCTCTACGAACGCAATGCAACCATGGGATGTAATGGTAAGGCTACACTATTTCCAAGTGACGGAAGCTATTATGAGGGCAGCACGACACACCCTGCTACAGACTGAGGGACACCAGGTACAACTATCAGGACCTGGCCCCCAGCACCCTAAGCAAGAGGAGGGAACTAAGGCCCCTGACTCAGGAACTGGCAAGGAGACAAATTCGATACTCCTGGGGGCACCCTTTCAAACTGATGGTACCAAGGAATAACCAAACCATCACACTTCACTGCATGGAAGAGGCCAGGGGATTTGTGGAGCAGCTGGGCCTACCCAGACTAGACCTGACAGTGGGCGGACCATCAAGCAGAACTTCAGGACTACCCTCACCCCTCACACACCCACAAGGTCACCGGACCTTGCTTCACAAGAGTTTGCAAGCCACACAAGTGGGCAAGACAGACAGGGTCCCGCCGTGGCCAAACTAACCAACGGCACCGTCCACTAAGCAGACTCAACAACTCACATGGACTGCTGACCTAACTAACAGGACATGTGCTGCGAAAGAGGCCGATGGCGGACCCCTGTGACAATGCCTGAAACAAGATAAGACATCCAAGTTTAATTTTACAGTTTAATTTCACAGCAAATAGTGCCTTAGGTTTCATGTTACACCATGTTATATGTACTGTGAATCTACTGTGTTGATAATCAAGGTAACTACCGAACTTCCAAGCAGCCAAACGGGGGTTAAGTTGCCACTTGCAAGGACAACGAGCCACCACTCCAAGCGCATGCAAACCTCTACCTCATAGTAAGCAACAGACAAAAGGGTGTCGTCCGATGGGGGTACCATCTGTAGCGGAGAGGTAGTATAATCCACAATTTCTCCGCTGGTAGACCGAAACCGCATACGATAATCCAGGTAGCATTACAATAATCCTGGCACCCACAGAGGGACTCTGGAAGTAGCAACCTTTACCCCGAGACCCTCCCCCCCAGCTCGAAATCAACCCCCCCCCCCACTGTCAACCCTACCCAATCCCCCAGCCTCCCACAGAGCCGACCCCCAAATCACCGACATCCTGCCACGCTCGCCCAGCCGCCATGGCTGACTGGCCTAGCCTCGCTTCACGCTGTCTGGATGCTTTAGGGGTTAATATCATTGCAGGTGCTCATTCTGAAGGTCCATCTGACCTGACAGCATTAGTTTTGTTTTATCAAGTCTGCTACAGATGCAAAGTTTAAATCAAGTGCCTACGAAAAAAAAAAACCCAAAAAACTGGTCACATACACCGAAGATCAAAGGACAGCTGATTGAGGATTTTTTCCCCCGTCACTTCTGATCCCCGAGCCTGTGTCTGTTGTGGCTCTGGTGTGAGCCAGTCCGGGTACCACCAGGCCGCGGAGGTGTGTGGCATGATTTTCGGGCCACCCGCGTGGGAGGCCTTGGGAGGTCGGCATTTTTGTTTTGCGCCTGTCTGCTGAAAAAAAGGCATTAGTGTGTGCCTCTCTGTTTCCTACAGCCAATGCTAGACTGTCAGCGGGCTTGGGGGAAATTCCTATTTTTAGTGTGAGGTTCGTGGAGCTCCAGAGATGGCGTCTGTGCTGGTTGCCTATCAAGCCCCGCCACCCATCCTACAATTTTTGACCTCCCTTTTTGAAGCAGGAAAAGCGTACTGCACGGTTAACCTCTACCGCTCTGCGCTTTCAGCTGGACATCAAGGGATCGATGGTGTGACAAACCTAGCCACTTAAGGCTGTCTGTCCTAATAGTGTTTTAATAGGGTTGTCTACCAACTGTCTGCATATGTGTTTTCCCTGTATACCACTTGTATATAATATATAGCATTCGCATGCTGGATGCATATGAAAGCCGCAAGCATTCAGCGGTTAATTTCACGAACTGGGAATTTCAACCCTGTTCGTGAAAATAATTATTTACCGAATGGGAGACCACACACAGGAGGTGGTGTGTCTCCCCTTAACGGGTGCAACAATGTAACCACGGCTTATTAAGTATGTTGCGGATGGCCGCTGTTCATATGTCGAACACGTGGCGGCGGCCATCTTTTCTCCCGAAAGCCCAGCGGTGTTTGGTCGTCGAGTGCCTGGAACTAAAATCGGCTACTCGACCTACCGAACACCGCTGGACTTCCGGGCCGTTCGTGCAAATAATTATCTCGGCATATGAAAGCGCTCAGTATGTTATTTCGTTACAAGGCTTATTCACGTAAAAAGGGTAATTTGAATGGCTTTTCGTCTAAATATGCAGGGATCTGAGCGGTATTTTACCAGATGGTGCGCTCAGATCCCAGCTATGCAGCAAGGGGTCATTCGGCTCATTCACCCTAATATTATGACTACTACAGAATTTAATGTAAAAATTTAACTTTGGGTGTACGGAGAGATAGGGTGATTAACAGTATATTCTTATCCCTTATCTCTCCAGTACAGCAATGGATGCTGGGAAATTGTCCTGTAACATGAGTTCCCCACGTAGTCCACTGTTGTAAAACCCTTGCAAAGTCATTTTGGAAACCCCTTGCATGGGGAACTGCATAAATACTGTGACCAGTGAATAAAAGGTCAGTTGACTCCCAGACTATATGTCATCTAGTTCTTGAGAGGAAGGGATTATTGTAATGCTACCTGGATTATCGTATGCGGTTTCGGTCTACCAGCGGAGAAATTGTGGATTATACTACCTCTCCGCTACAGATGGTACCCCCATCGGACGACACCCTTTTGTCTGTTGCTTACTACGCGGAGTACGATTTTCTCGTCCACCGCTCCCTTGTTACTCTACACACTGGGATGTTTCTCTTGTCCTCTGTTTTCTAATGTCATGGCCGGATAATTCTTCATTATCACTTAAACAACTGTCAGCAAAACTAGTCATGCTTTTCTGCCTCCTTTCATGCAAAAGTGTCTTGGACGTACGAACTTTGGACACTGACGCTCGATCTTTTACACCAGAAGGTGTTCTCTTCGATATCTCTAGAAGGACCAAAACGTCTTCTAAGTCCATACTGTACCCGGCCTTTCCGCAGAAACCTCCATTGTGCCCAGTGGCATTCCCACGGGAATACGAACTCCGTAAGGCTCCGCTCTGGAACCCCATGAGACCTCAGTTATTCATCTCTGTCCGCAAACCACATCTTCCAGTATCCTCTCCCTCCCTGGCCAGATGGGTCAAATGGATTATGACATTGGCAGGCATTGACACTTCCATGTTCTCTTCGCATTCGGTTCAAGGAGCTATGGCCTCAAAAGCCTCTGCGGTAGGATGTCGACTAGAAGCTATTTTATGAGCTGCCAATTGGTCTTCGGAATCCACTTTTTGTGATTTTTACTTCAAAGCGATCGAACACTTTGCTGGAAGTTATATCACACCTTTAAACCAGCATAATAGGAGCCTCCCTGTCTTATTAAATATACCAGATTTTACTATTTACATGACGTAAAGTCATGATTTTATTAACGACCCGGAGGCGAGTATTATCCCTCCCACCCTTCCCAGATTGGTGGTTCACCTGGGTAAGGTGATTGGGTTTGATCATTTATGTTTGTATTCACCTCATACATGTTGACTAAATACTAGTTACAGTAGATATTGCCTAATCACGTATAACGCGTTATTTATGCATACATCCAGTTTTATACTTGGATATTACCATACTCTACTCTCTCTTACAGCTTAAATTGGAAGTTCACCCACTGGCATTGTTCCCTTATTGGAATTCATTTTCGTTTGGATGACGGTACAAGTTTGGGATCGCAAGAAAGAGGCAATGGTTCAGGGAATACTGCCTATTATGCTGGAGAGTGGAACCTGATTGGCTGTTGGTTGTCATGGAAGATGTGTTAATGACTGTTTCGTGTGTTCATATCTTTGTTAAAGTTTTTCTTTGCTGCTGAAGGCAATAAAGAAGGAGTGCAGCATAATACTCGCCTCCGTGTCGTTAATAAAATCATGACTTTACGTCATGTAAATAGTAAAATCTGGTAATTAATGTAAATAAAGCTCCAGGGCCTGACTGTATTCACCCAGGAGTACTTAAGGAGCTAAGTGGAGAAATAAGTGAACCGCTGTATTTAATTTTTCAAGATTCTTTTCTCTCAGGTATTGTACAGGAGGATTGGAGGAATGCAGAGGTCGTTCCTCTATTTAAAAAGCTTTCAAAATCCTTGCCTGGAAAATAGACCTGTGAGCCTAACTTCTGTGACTGGGAAAATATTTGATGGGCTATTAAGGAATAATACTCAGGAATTCATTGGTAAGAACTCTGTTATTAGCAATAATCAGCATGGGTTTATGAAACATAGGTCATGTTAAACTAACCTAATTGCATTCTACAAAGAAGTAAGTAGAAGTATAGATCAGGGTGTTGCAGTGGATGTGATCAACTTGGATTATGCCAAGGCATTTGATACAGATGCTCACAATAGGTTAGTTTTCAAACTAAAAGAAATTGGTCTAGATGAACATTCTTGTTCTTGGGTAGAACATTGGCTTAAGGATAGAGTATAATGAGTTGTCATTAATGGTACATTTTCAGGCTGGATAAAAGTGGTAAGTGGTGTCCCTCAGGGTTCTGTTTTAGGACCGCTTCTATTTAACATATTTATAAATGATCTTGAAATAAGCATTGAAATCCATGTGTAATAAAATATGAGCAGGGTATTGCTTTGCTGCAGAGGGATTTGAATAGATTGAGGGATTGGGCACTAAAAGGGCAGATGAAATTTAACGTAGAGAAAAGCAAAGTAACGCACTTCAAGGTCAAGAATGCACAAACAACTTGAACCCTAAATGGTAGTGAATTAGGGATAACCACACATAAGAAGGATTTGGGAATTGTTATAGACAACAAATTAGGCAGCAATATGCAATGTCAATCTGCAGTTGCTAAGGCCAGTAAGGTTTTGTCATGTATAAATAGGGGCATAAATTCTCGGGATGAAAATATAATTTTGCCTCTTTATAAATCACTGGTAAGACCACACCTTGAATATGCTGTGCAATTTTAGGAACCTGTTCTAAAGAAGGATATCATGGCACTATAAAAGAGCAGAGACAAGCTACAAAATTGATAAAAGGAATGGAGAATTTTAGTTACGAAGAAACGTTAAATGTAAATCTCTTTAGTTAGAAAAAACGGCGCCTCGGGGGGATATTATAACATTATACAAATATATTTGGGGCCAGTACAAACCATTATCCGGAAATCTATTCATAAACAGGGCTATACATAGGACACAAGGTCACACATTTAGGCTGGAAGAAAGGAGATTTCATCTAAGGCAAAGAAAAGTTTTTTTTACAGTAAGAGCAATAAGGATATGGAATTCTCTGCCTGAAGAGGTGGTTTTATCAGAGCCCATACACATGTTTAAACTGCAATTGGATAAATACTTGCAAAAACATAACAAACATGGATATAATTTCTAATTAGTGGCGTAATAGCTGCTTGATCCAAGGAGACATCTGACTGCTATTTTGGGGTCATGAAGAATTTTTTTCCTAGTTTATTGCAAAATTGGAAGCGCTTCAGACTAGGTTTTTTCCTTCTTTTGGATCAACAGCAAATACATATGTTAGGAAGGCTGAACTTGATTGACGCAAGTCTCTTTTCAGCTATGTAACTTTATCAGTTTTGGTGTATAGATCATGCCCCTGCAGTCTCACTGCTCAATTATCTGCCATTTAGAAGTTCAATCACTTTGTTTATGCATCCCTAGCCACACCTCCCAGCATTTGACTTACACAGCCTTCCTAAACACTTCAAGTAAAGAGTCATCTAATGTTTACACTTCCTTTATTGCAAATTCTGTTTAATTTAGAATGTCTCATCTCCTGCCCTGTAAATAGCTTGCTAGACCCTGCAGGAGCCTCCTGTATGTAATTAAAATTAAATTTACAGAGCAGGAGAGAAAAAGGTTTAAAAGTAAGTTACGGTATTTTTCCCATGTATATTATTATTATTATTATTATTATTGCCATTTATATAGCGCCAACAGATTCCGTAGCGCTTTACAAAATTATTAGCGGGGGGAATTTAACTATAAATAGGACAATTACAAGAAAACTTACAGAAACGATAGGTTGAAAAGGGCCCTGTTCAAATGAGCTTACAGTCTATAGGCGGTGGGGTATAAAACACATTAGGACAGGAAAAAGCAGTCAAATTAGGTGGGAGTGAAGCAGAGCTGGAGGAGAGAGTAGAGTGCTGCCCTTTAGGAGAGAGAAAGAGACAGGTATGGGAGGTAGAGGTTAGTCTCGGAGGCCATAGGCTTTCCTAAAGAAATGGGTTTTAAAGCACTTCTTAAATGATTGAAGACTAGGGGAGAGTCTGATGGCGGTACGCAGGCTATCCCATAGGAAGGGAGCCGCCCGCGAGAAGTCTTGCAAGCACGAGTTGGTCGTACGGGTGCGAGCAGCAGACAGAAGTTGGTCACGGGCAGAGCGGAGTATAAGGCGCCCCCATGTATAAGACGACCCCTATTTGTTTAGCCCCAAATTAAGAAATACATATTTTAAAGATCTATAGCACTAAAGTCCAGTTTGGCTGATCACGATCCCTAACCGGTCCCAGACAACCCTCACGCTCCAGTAGGCCATTCTCCGAGGTCCGGTTAAGTCTGGACACTTCTCCTGGACAACCATCCTGCGGTTGGCGGCAACAATGCCCTCTGCCTGCGGTAACCTGCGGCGTCTATCTGTATGCCGGAGCCATGAGGTCTTGCTGTGGTCCAGAGTGATGTGAGGAAGCATGCGGTCGTGCACACAATCGATCAAATTAACAGAGAAGCGCCTCCTCTGCTTAGAGTATGTCAGCAGGTCAAAGAGGTGTACAACACAGCCTATGCCCGCAGGAACCTGGCAGTAGCGAACCCAACAGGCAGCTGATTGTTCTGTCAGCGAGTAGCAACGTTTTGAGCCCAAACTGCACTGAGTAATTACATTTTTGAAGGAGCTCCAGCCACATGTGACTAGCTTGGTTGGCTGTTAAAACACTTGTGTGCTGGGCCTTTTTTTTTTTGCTTTTTTTAACCCCTGCAGTGACATCTTATACACAGAAAAACATGGTACCTCTGATTAAAAATGTAATCTTTTTCTTCATGCAGGCTAACAGTCACAGCCAGGGGAACAGTGGCTAGGGCTGCATAAACAGAAACAAGTGATTTAACTCCTAAATGGCAGCTATGTTAGCAGTGACATTTCAGGGGCATGATCTATACACCAAAACGGTTTCATTAATATAAAGTTGGTTTGGTAACTTTAAGGAGAAATGTAAGGTTACCTTGTGATCGTCCAGGTATGCAGAAAGACACGGGTAGGTGAAAACCCTGTAACATAAAACACATGTTGAAAATACCATTTTCATAAGAAATACAAATGTTTGGATAATGTAGGTGGATTTACAATTAGAGAGAAACTGTTTAAAAGTGTGAGATAAAGGGGACAATCAATCTTTTGGAGCTCTGACCGGACAGTTAACGGATGCTCCAGAAGGTAGACATGGATGTGCAATAAGTGGTTTCAATCAGCTGCCACTATGTTTTATGAAATAAATGTTGTGATGTTTGTCCTGGACACCATCATGTATTAACTATGGGGAATTAATGGTCACCAGCCCATCAGTCCTGCGGTTTATGGATGTACTAATCTGTTTTATACGGCATCTCTTCCAGCAACCAATGGTAACAGCTGCCTACATGGTGGGAATTTGCCAGCAGCCAAGTAATCTATTCCTTATATTACATGTATAATATATGATGCATCAAGTATACCTTCTTTTGTCACCAAGCATGCCATTCACCAGATTAAGGAATTTTCTACAGTCCTGTGTAAACAGCAAGGAAATCAGATATTATTTGCCATTAAATATATTTTTTTGTAGGTCATAGTCAGTGCAGGATGCTGTAAAACTGCCATAGTCATCATGTTTCATTGGTGTTCTTGAACAGTAACCACCTTCCAGGACTCATTGGGCCACAAGAAAACATAGTTAAACGAAAGGCTGCTTCATCTTCTTGAGTCTAACATTTAATCATAACACCCACCGTCTCAAACTCAGGGTCCTTGATCGCTTTAAATGCATCTGTCACAAACTCCATGGGGAACCATTGGCTGGCCAGGTCTCCTCTTTGTTTTTCTGATGTCATTCTGCATAATGCTTCTGTAATCGCCACTTGTAAATCATAATCTGTAAAATTATTACAGTAATAATATTCAAAGGGACAGTCTAAGCACAAAATCACTTCATTTCAGTGGTGTGATTTGGGGATATTAATGCTGCCCCTGTAGCCTTCTCTTTTACATCTAACAGATGTGCGTTGAATGCTTCAATCATTGTATTTTCTCATAGAGAAGCACAGGACAGGCAGACTGAGGCGACTACTCGTGTGCTGTGTGTGCTATGAGAAACATCTGATTGAACAAAAGTCATCAGGATTGACAACATCACCAGAGGAGGGTTGAGATGCAGTCAGAAGGCTGTGGGAAGGATTATAATTCTATAAGAATAAGGAACATATCTAATTGAAAAAAAAAAGTTTGTGTTTATATAGTTCTTCTTACTAGAGAGCTCTTTTAATAAGGAGCAATATGTGGATAAAATGCACAGCTGTCCTGGCATCCAATCTGGCTCACATAAATATTTTCAATTAATGTTCTTTGCAATGGGCACTCGATCTCTCAACCCTTTCTGTGACCCACACTGTACTGTCTGTCTTCCGACCTTCCCTGTAGCCCACACTGAACTGTCTATCACTCTTCCTTTCCTGTAGCCCACACGGTACTGACTGCCTCTCTAACTGTCTGATAATCCACACTACACATTCAATCTTGCTAATTTTCTGGTCTCTCACTCTTTACTGTCTGTCTGTCTCTTTAACTTTGTGGTAGTCCATGCCACACAGGTCATAATCATACCTTTCCTATAGTCCTAACTGTAGTCTGTCTCCCTACTGTCTATGTACCCACTATTCCTGCAGTTCACGATGTACACAAAAGTGCTGTTACATCCAGGCAAGTATTAAGTGATCCAAAAACACAGTATAAATACAAATAATTAATACAAATACAAGATTTCTTAACCCTTGGGTTTTTCTTTTATAATAAAGTGCAATTTATAGAAGCCTGTTGAAATACTATTTTTAAAATTGTACACATTCATTATAATTTAGTACTGGATCTGTTCATCACCTGTGAAAATACAATTGAAAATATTAAACAACTTACCTCCAGCATCAATAATGCTCCTTCCCATAGATGGCCTATACAAGTATCAAGAAAGAAGACAATATAGAGCTTAGATAAGCAGAATTCAGTCAATCGTTTAATTAATACACAAAGCCAAACTTGGAAAGTAAAAAATTCAGCAATCTCCTGACTACACTGATTTCTAAAGCTGTATGCCAGCTGTAGAGCTACACAGGGACACTGTCCCCACCCACTCTGGCCCAGTGTACAGCACTGCATGGAGATGCTAAATTTTTCCACACAGTATACACGCTCTGAACGGAGATGCTGAACTTTTCCACACAGTATACACGCTCTGAACGGAGATGCTGAACTTTTCCACACAGTATACACGCTCTGAATGGAGATGCTGAACTTTCCCCATAGAGATGCATTGTTTTAATGCATCTCTATAAGGAGATGCTGATTGGCCAGGGTGGCGTTTGGTTCTGTCCAGGGCCAGCCTCCTTGGCTGAGATCATCAGAATTGATTATATCAGCCAATGCAATACTTTCTTATAGGAAAACATTGTGATTGGCTAAGATTATCAATTTTGATGATGTCAGCCAAGGAGGCGGATCGGAGGCAGAGCCAGTGCCAGTGGCTGGAAGTAAGGTGAGCTTTTACTAGCTGTAAGGAGCGTAAGGGGGGGATAAATCGTTAGTTTAACACTATGGTGTCTGGAATATATGTTTGTGTCCCTGACCTTACAGTGTTCCTTTAATGGATGACTTAGTGTTTAATGTGTCTTTGTTACAGCCACCACATAAATTATACTAAATTATTTTAACCCTTGCGAGTGTTCATTTAACCCCCTTAAGGACACAACTTCTGGAATAAAAGGGAATCATGACTGAATATTTCCGTCACGTGTCCTTAAGGGGTTAAAACATTACCAGGTCACTTTGTGGTCACTGACATATTATACACTAATAGGGTTATTTATTAAAGTGGGAATTCAAAGTGAATTTCAAATGTAAGGCCAAAGTCGCCAAACTGAAAGCATAGATGACGGAGACAATTTTTCCAGCTAAGCAAATTCACTTTGTATTCTCACATTGGTGATTAATCCTGTAAGAACATGGCAGAATTTATTTTTGTTGCTTTGTGGAGGGGATCTCTTCTGAGGTTTGTCTCTCTGCATATTCTTATTTCACACAGCTTTCATGATAGGCATTATCCGTCCTAAACTTGAAAGTTTCTCAGATTCCACAGAATTTATATACAAAGGTCATTGTCCTTCCTAAGGTGCTTGCTAAAGATGCTTCCCAATCTTCGTACTGAATGATCTGCCAAGATAGGTTTGGTGTTTGGAGAATAATCCTGTAAGATGCAAACTATTAAAATACACACAGTAGTGGATTAAGAAATACTAGGCATGCACGATTGTTTTCAGACAAATACAAACATCTATAAATTTTTATGCTGGATTCGTCTAAAAAACAAACTTGCATATGACTCAGCAGTAGGAACTTCCAGAATAAATGTAACAATAATTGAACAATACGGGATCAAGAAAGTGGCGATAACATCTGTTTGACATCTGTGTGTGTGTGATATTTTGATATCTGGAACACTGCAGCTTATAGAAGCCTAAATAATGTTGGCTATTTTCATGGAAAAAGTTTCCTCTCCTGACATTGAGACATAAAGAGAAGACATAAACTGAAAAATTTACTCAAGTGTTCCTTCTGACTGTGACAAACACTCCTTCCCACGTATGTTTGCCACGGATTTCTGGAGGAGTGTAGGAACCTGCCACTTGCCCACCGACTAGGTCTGGGACATTGTTTGGGATTTACTCTGCCCAGCCGCCATTAACAGCTTTCCCTGGGTGTCCTTGGTTCCGCACTTTCCGTTCATATGAATGGAACCGAATGCTGGCTTTCTGGGGCCATTCGCATGAACCAAACCCACGAATAGTCTTAGCGGTACTTAGCCGCGACTGCTATGGAACTAAATTCGGCATGAGGACTTTGTGGGTTTATGGTCACCTCAGCACGACTTAGCTGTGAATGTTATGGAACCATTTTCGGCATGAGGTGACCATGCGGTTCCCAGACAACTTGGTTCGCAGCTTTCAACCACTTTGAAATCCGCCAGAAGAGCACTTTTTGGAGGGAAGGTGCCTGAGACTAAGGTGAACAATCACTACCTAAGAACCAGGTGGAGCACCCTGTATTGCGGCCGTAGAAGCTACCGAAAGTTGACCAGCAAAAGCACCAAACGCCCTGGAACTATTTTGGGCATAGGACCACATGTGCGGCTTTTCAAAGCTTTAACACAGTGGCGTTTCCCCTAAACTGCATGGATTTGAGCGCTACTTGGAGAATTTGGGAGCTCAGATCAGGGCTATTTAAAGATATATTATTTATGGGGTTATTTTATGTTTTTATGATATTTTGGGGTATTTTTATGTTGTTATATTTTTGTGTTTGCCGCTCTGTTTCTGTGAAATAATTAGCTTGCCGGTTTTTAACGCAATTATCTCCCAGGCTCAGAGATTCCTGGGAGGGGCTTGTGGTGAAGACAATGGGGACCCCCTACTGGGGTCTGTGTATAAAAAGGCTGTGTTTGGATGCATTAAACCAGTTGTACTCCAAGAACTATGTGTCGTCTAGTTACTGGAAGGGGAAAGGTTAAAAATCACTGCTTAGCACCTTGTTCCAGCTCATGGAGGATTCAGCAGGCAGAGTCCTTGTAAGGACTAGAGATCCCAGGACAGTGTGTCGTCCTGTCCCTGGGAAGGAATAGAGCTAGTCCCCTATCCTGTTCCAGGATGGAGGGGCTCCAGGAGGACACGGCACCCCATTGAAGACACGGCGACTGGGGCAGAACACTGAGGTTTTCCCCTATTCCAGCTAGGAAGTGGTCCTTGGCAGAGGTACCCATGTGGGGTACCGGGATCTCCGCTACACTGACACACACTGCTAAAAAAGACCCCTAGCTCACATTGACTTGTAAGGTCATTACTGGAACACATACACCTTGACCACTTCCTAAACAACATTGCTTATTTAAGAGGAAGTCTTACTTTCCGAGAAGTGACAATTTTTCATTCCTTCACCCCTGTAAACGCTTTTACAGAGCTGAATAGAGCAGGAGAGGTAAGCAATAAAAAGAAAAAACAACAATAGCTTCCACTATATTTTTTCAGATTCTTTGCTGTCCTTTAGGTGCACATTTATTTATTTTTGCCAATTTCTTTTATATTACATAGTTACATAGCTGAAAAGAGACTTGCATCCATCAAGTTCAGCCTTCCTCGCATGTTTTTGCTATTGATCCAAAAGAAGGCAAAAAACCCAGTCTGAAGCGCTTCCAATTTTGCAACAAACTAGGAAGAAAAATCCTTCTTGACCCCAAAATAGCAGTCAGATGTCTCCTTGGATCAAGCAGCTATTACCCCACTAATTAGAAATCATATCCCTGTATGTTATGTTTTTGCAAGTATTTATCCAATTGCAGCTTAAACATCTCTTTGGACTCTGACAAAACCACCTCTTCAGGAAGAGAATTCCATATCCGTATTGCTCTTACTGTAAAATAACCTTTTCTTTGCCTTAGATTGAATCTCCTTTCTTCCAGCCTAAATGTGTGACCTTGTGTCCTATGAATAGCACTGTTTATGAATGGATTTCCAGATAAAGGTTTGTACTGGCCCAGATGAAATGACATGCAATCAATAATAGAAAAACGATGCACGGACATAGCATAGCAGTGCACAGACGATTGGTAATAACTCATTTTTAAAAATAACTATTTCAAGCATAAAAAGGCTAGGCCAGCACGTTTGAATTAAAAACAGATGCTATATTCTCTGCCAGGCACAGTTTCACCTTGCCCTCCTTCTGATTGCAATCTGCATAGTGTGCAGAATACGACAGAACGTGAGATTCAGAGCTAACTTAGCCGATGCCCTCAGAGGGAGGAATACTGCCCCTCCAGAACTTGAGTCCACAGAAGATGATTAGGATTCTCCACTGGGCCTCAGCTGCCACACATTTCAATAAGATGCTCTCTAAGTTCTGAACATGTCCAGACTCCAGTGCTGTGACTTGTAAATCTCCTGGTTCATACAGACGACCACTGGAGGTGCTTCCTGTGTCAGTGTTGCACAGTAGTGCAGCATAGAAGTTCAGCTTCTCCATGATTCAATGCATATCTATGAGGAGATGCTGATTGGCTAGTGCAACGTGTGGCTCCACTCCGGCCTCCTTGGCTGAGATCATCAGAATTGACAATATCAGCCAATCCAATGCTTTCCTATAGGAACTCGACTAATAAAGTGCAATATTGGCACAAATCTTACTTAACTTCTGCAGGACCACTATGCCGATTGTCTGACTGATTTCTGCGGGCATAGATCATTTCCTATAGGAAATCATTGTGATTGGCTGAGATTATAAATTCTGAAGATGTCAGCCAAGGAGACGGGTGTGGGGCCAGACACGAGGCTTCGACCTGCACATCCTTCTTTGCAATGCCATGTAGGAAATGCATGACCAAGGCCTCGTCTCAATACGCTGATGATCAGCCGGGATCTGTGAGGCCTTTGCCTGGCCAGTAGGGAGTCGAGGAAGCATGTGGTTGCACAAAGTCTCCCAGAACCACAGGTTCCACAGGGGAGGGGTGCTAGGAGAAGAACCTAGAAGCAGCAGGCCAAAGCGTGGTGGCCATCTTAAAAGGTAGGCCTCAACCCCCCATGCCACTTGTGACTTCGGTGCTTAGCCAAAGAGGCCACCACAGCACACCATTGGGGACTAGGATATCCTCAGCCTGTCCAAAAGGGGGGATGGACAGTGCTCAGGCAAGAGAGTTTAGTTTCACCAGGGTAGAGAATCAGCCACCTCCCCTGCATACAGTACATCAGCAGGCAGTAGAAATGCTTATCATGATCTATGTCCGCAGAAATCAGACAATCGGCATAGTGGTCCTGCAGAAGTTAAGTAAGATTTGTGCCAATATTGCACTTTATTAGTCGAGTTTCTGGCTTTACAAAGTAAAAGGCTTTTCTTGAGATGCTGCAGCCACATGCAATCAATCGGTCGGCTGTCAGACCCCGCCCCTTAGGCGCACATTTATAATGCCCTGGAATTCACTTTTGCAGTCACACACACGCATGCATAGCAATGCAAGAGTTAACTAATTTACATACTATGCCCAGTCTTGGCCATCAATATATGCAAGTTAAAATATAATGACTTTGTGTTTTTTTTTTTTTATTCTTTACTTTTGAGCAGTCATAAGTCACGGTACAAGTAATACAGGTACAATAAGAAAGCACAGGGCATGTCGGTTAACAATATAGCTAGCTTAGACAGCAAACAAGGTGATGCACGCTGGACTGCCAGTTTGTATAAAAAGTACAGAATAAAAGGATAAAGTAACTTAAAAAATAAAATCATAAACTGCTTCAGTCGTCTCAGCCATTTGTGTGTATGTGGTGCCCATCTGTGCATGTCCTCCCTTGCTCCTAAGAGATCCTCCCGCTGTGCACCAGTGAGTGAATCAATATTGTACCCCAACCCTACTCTTTTCATTGGGACACGTTCTTTTCATTGCTTGCAGCAGAGACTGGCTGCCAATTGGTTATCATCCAAATACAATTTGGTTTAATTCAGCTGAAGCCATTTTCATACAAATCTCACTGCTGCCATTAAGGTTTGCTAAAAATAGAAGGGACCTATTTGACTCAGAATAAACCGAACCTCAGAAGTGAAAAGAAAAAAGCAGAATGAAAAAGATCAAAGTTGGCATTTAGAGAACAGACCCCTAAATCTCGAGCAGATATGGACATGTGTTTGTTCGGCAGCAAAACATATTAGTAAGCAAAGCAGAAATAAATAGATAATTACATGATGGACAGAACCTCTTCTGAACAAAGAATGTTCTTCCTGACATCACGAGGCATTGCGTCCAACATTAAATTCAGCTTGCGGACTACCTAGAAAAAGGAAACATGCCCATTACCAAATGATTATCATAGAAGCCAAAGGCACTAAACACTGTGGTATATATGTATTGTGGCAATGAAGGAGTTCATCTGCTTTGTCTTGAAATGGAATGTAAGGAAATTTCACATCTTGTGGTAGCTGGTCAGTTAGACAGGTATCTGGGCAGAATTGGTGACACAGCTGTTGCTGGAGACTGGAGCTGGCCTGGGATTGGTTGAAGGACGCAATCATTAAAAGAACGGGAAAATTGACAGAATAAAAAGCAGCAGAGCGAGTTTAATACTGTCAAAGTAGAGTGAAGCAGGAGTTGCGCGGACGGACCCCACCCTCCTTCAAATTTTATTTAATTGTGTTGTTGTGGTGTTAAGAAGCATTTGGATAAAAGTCATCCTCAGAGGCAAGTTCTGATGAAGGATATGGTGGCAAATGGTTTTAAATAAAAGGCGGTACAGTCATCTAAGACTAGTTGGTGGTTAATAACGTTAAAAGTTTTGAAAGGTTAAAGTTTATGTTGTATGGTTATGAAATTATGATTATAAGCCCTTTAAACTTTGAAAACACACTACAGCCAAGCCCATTGAAAGCCCAGTAAATAAAAGTCTGTGTTTATTGTGTGAGCTCATATTATTTCTACAAATATCGCCTACCATAACAATAATTACGCCAATTAGATATTAAAATGGAAAGAATATAGTATTAAAATTGACGAAAATGAAAGGAAGCACAAGAAGGCTGAGAAGATAAGCCCTAAAACAAAAGTTTAAATACAATCATGCTCACAATAAGTCCCAGCTGCAAAATAATGCTTGGCTATGGCTTAAAGACACCAACCTGAGCCAAAAGCAATAGGTTGGAAATTCAGCAAGTATTTTTCCACAAAACATTCATCTCCAATGGTAACATTTTTAAGAACCATGGTTCAGATTTCGGTAACGAAAACCCATTGCAGGAGACCCTTTATAAGAATTATACAATAAAAAATAGACACATATACATTTGCTGACTTAATTAACTGCAAATTACACTCGGAGCTGAAAGATGATTTTTTTTACCTCTTGTTTAATTAAAACATGAATGGTTGTATGGCTTACTAAGGAGCATGCCTGTGTGAAAAAATGTTCCAGAATTTGCAGTTTACCTGAGAAAATAAAATTTATTATAAAAGGTTAGTGAACATGGTACTTTCTGCTTTCAGCTGTAATGCAAATCATTTTTCTCTTACCGTAATTACTGTGGTTGTAAATTATCTGAAAAGCAAGAAAATTATGTGTTTTTACTTAATCACAAACACATGAGGTTCCCACATGTAAAATAAGGGCACACCCAGAGATGGGCAGTGCTGAAAAAACAAAGCAGGAATCTAATAAATGAGGGGACAATAACCAGGGCCGGTGCAAGGATGTTTGCCGTACTAGGCAATCAAACATTCATCAGAAGTGCTTACCATAATAACATCAAAGAAATCTTCAGCAAGGTTGACTAAAGATTCATTTTTCTCATTTCCTCCACAAACCAGAAAGTCCTCAATCTTTTTAAACCAAATTAGCATGTAAGAGAATAAAATAAAGGGAGTTATGCACATTTCATTGCCATCGCAGATAGCATCTATGTTTAGAATGAAGGGTGTTATTTCAACTTTGCAGACTTGTTATGGTTCCTACTTCCTAAAAAATGTGTGAGCTAAAAGAGGTCCTATTCATTTAAAGGTATGTCTCCATGGGCACTAGCGCTCTGTAGATTGGTATCTTGTCTAGAAAGGATTAGGGGTTTTATTTTATACCCAAAGAAAACACACTTTAAATGCCTATATTTGAAGTAGAAAAAGGACACTTCGGTCACCTTATGAGCATCAATACTGGTCTCTCTATTTAAAAGGCCTAAAACTCACCTATGAGAAGCACAATGGCATCAGCAAAGGGAGGTGTGCCTTTCAATTAGCCAAGAACTTTCTGCGACTAATTGAAAAGCACCTGTCTGAAGCCCTGCCTGCACACTGGTGCTCCCTAGACATTAATAGACTGTTCCACTGCCATATGCTAAACTGTAGGTGCAACTGTAAGGAATGGTTAACCCACAGAGTAAAATGACAGTATACAGACGGCACGTCATAGGGTTCTTTTAATAAAAACAAAACGTGTTTATAAAAAAAGCACCAAACATAAAAAAAAGGAATGAAAAGAAACCAACCAAAAAAAAAACATTTTTGGGACAGCACAATATGCTTGTTCTTTGGAGAAAATAGCTTGGAACGAATGTGGTAACAAGCTCAGTGTGTGCAGATACCAGGAAACACTTATCTTTTTGACGAGTCCCTGCTTTAAGGACAGGCTCAGCCACTCTTCACCACCTGAATTCATACATTTGCCAAATTTATAAATAACATGTAGTACATATGAAACGTTCTTCAAATCTCGTTTATCAAGCTCCTAGAAGAAAAACAGAACTGCAAATTGCAACAAATGTATTTACTGATCAATATGTTTAACAACATCACATTATATAAATAATTACTTTTAAGAGATGTGAATAAAGATTGATTTTAGTAAAATAGGATTTAAAAGAACAGTTTAGGCACCGAAACAATTTGGTATCTATAGCTATTGGCTTATAGAATTAGCTGCATTGTATGCATGCTCATTTTGTCCGTTTTTTTTTCAAAATTGAAAACTTTGCAGCATTCAGCATGTTGGCTTTGCTACCTATGGTCCATAGACCTCAGTATTGCAGTCACTCACTAATTTCTTCTCACCTTCTTTAAGACATATTACAGTACAGCATCCAGGGACATTGACTGCAGCTCTAATATCACATTCATTCTTCTGCATTTTTAAATTGAGATACAAATTATTTTACTAAAAAAAAAAGCTCAGAGTCATGGTCTGCAGAAATATATTCTCTTCTCTTTAAAATATAAGAAGTATTTTGTCACTGGCTAAACAAGAGGATTTACTAAAATATAATTTAGGGCAGAAGGCATGGTATCATTCTAATCACAATATGCCCAGTGCATGTGAAGTGATTTACAATATTTGCCAAACAATAGATGACAAAATGTGTCATTTACAATATAGAAGAGCCAATGCAACAACTCATTCTTAGAAAACAGAATGAACCTTAAAGGGATACTCCAGGCACCATAACAACTTTGTTGGAACTGAATTGTTATGGTGCAAGGAGGTCCCGGGCGCACGCTTACCTCAAGGTGTTACATTATTAATGAAACGTTTAAGCCCAAAGTCTTCAGTCCGGCGTTTACTAGCTATACCTAGGCATTTCTTTTCTTCATCCAAGGCATTAAACAGGAAGCCTCGGGCTGGCACTGCTGACTGAACTGGCTGCACTCAATGCAAAAAACAAGGTGAGAAAAACACGTACATTTCTCACTTTGTTTTGTGAATGGGGAGCTATCGATAGGCTGAGGGCTTCAACTAATACTCTCAGCCAATCTGCATCACCCAGACCAAGGCTTCTGATTTTAAACCTCTGCTATAGAAAGGAAGTTCAAGGGCAGATCTATTGGGGGCCAAACTTAAGACGTCTGGGACTTTCTTGCACCATACAAACTTCATTCCAGTGAAGTTGCTTTGGTACCCACAATGTTTCTTTACCTGAACACTCAAAGTATCATTATTATTACAGCAAACTATAGTGGTTAGGGGGCTAGAAAAGCACTGGCAGCCCACCATGGTAAGTAGTCAATTTATTACCTGGGGTACAACAGGTGCAGCTCATTATAGGGAAAATGGAGTGCCAGAAGCTCCAGTTATTAGCTTTCATAAGCTAAGTCCAAGACCACTAGGCTTAGCTCAGGCAGAGAGCTTTTGTCTCTCACAGAGGTTGTAGTGGAGCCAGATAAGTCAAACAGCTTTCAAAACATTCTTTAACACAGTATTTGAGAGGTCTTTTGCCCTCCCCTCCCACCATATAAGGCTGGCATTGTGTCTCCAACAAATGCTACCCTTTCTGTGTTAGTTACACACTGTGTCCCAAACAAATGCAACTATTTTTGTGATGCATGCATAACAAAAGATCTTCTCTCGGAACATGAGCTTGGAAACCAGTTTTAAATAGAACCATGCAGGCAGCTAAGTTTTAATGTAGGTTCACCCAGTCATCTGTAGTATATAAGAGAATAAAGTTTAAAATAGTTTAAATGTCAAAACTTAACGTGATAAATAACACACCGCATACATCCACAGGAAATTTAGCTTAATTATAACTTTATTATTTCAGTACCCTGCACATGAGCTTGTCAAGTTTCCCAATAAACTGTTTGCTGCATTTCTGCGGAGATAGCTCAGTTTGTAAAAACCCTTCCAGGGTACCAAAATCTTGCATTTTCAGAGCATGGTCAATGCTAGTCTCCAGCTAGAAAAAAGAAATAAATAAACCTCTACATTACAAAATACACACATTTTCTAATGCATATTCAAAAATAAAATAGGAATTCAGTTATTATTTTACATTTCAGAGAAGTATTGTGGGCACAGAAAACATGGTCTTGCTGTATTCTGCCAACCACCTGCTTCACGTAAACAAGCATTGTTTGCGCAAATGTACATGTGCCACAGTGTGAACATTCATATAATGTGCTGCCATCAATTATCACCACTGCATCTCAACGTCAGATGCTAAAATTACAATACAGAAAAGACCAAACCAAATCATTTTTATTAGTTAACACACTTCGATGAGCACACAGCTCTGAACATAGGAACAGAATAACTTGTTTGTCGTCAGCATGCTTGGCTCTCAGATAGATGAAATTTATATTTCTTTTAGGGTGGAGTTTTGTGACATTTTCTGAATGAATGTCAGGTGCTGCGTCTAGAAATTGAGCACAGAGACATAAGGGGCAGGGATTTATAAATTCTAAAACTCCTGCATTAAAAAGAAATGGTTTTGGTATTTAGATTGCACCGGTAACTCCCAGGAATGC